CACTCATTACTCACTCACACACTCACACTCACTTACTCACACTCACTCACTCACACACGCTCACTCATTACTCACTCACGCTCACTCATCACTCACTCACACACACTCACTCATTACTCACTCACACACACTCATTCACTCATTACTCACTCACTCACACACACTCATTCACTCATTACTCACTCACTCACACACACTCATTCACTCATTACTCACTCACTCACACACACTCATTCACTCATTACTCACTCACTCACACACACTCATTCACTCATTACTCACTCACTCACACACACTCATTCACTCATTACTCACTCACTCACACACACTCATTCACTCATTACTCACTCACTCACACACACTCATTCACTCATTACTCACTCACTCACACACACTCATTCACTCATTACTCACTCACTCACACACACTCATTCACTCATTACTCACTCACTCACACACACTCATTCACTCATTACTCACTCACTCACACACACTCATTCACTCATTACTCACTCACTCACACACACTCATTCACTCATTACTCACTCACTCACACACACTCATTCACTCATTACTCACTCACTCACACACACTCATTCACTCATTACTCACTCACTCACACACACTCATTCACTCATTACTCACTCACTCACACACACTCATTCACTCATTACTCACTCACTCACACACACTCATTCACTCATTACTCACTCACTCACACACACTCATTCACTCATTACTCACTCACTCACACACACTCATTCACTCATTACTCACTCACTCACACACACTCATTCACTCATTACTCACTCACTCACACACACTCATTCACTCATTACTCACTCACTCACACACACTCATTCACTCATTACTCACTCACTCACACACACTCATTCACTCATTACTCACTCACTCACACACACTCATTCACTCATTACTCACTCACTCACACACACTCATTCACTCATTACTCACTCACTCACACACACTCATTCACTCATTACTCACTCACTCACACACACTCATTCACTCATTACTCACTCACTCACACACACTCATTCACTCATTACTCACTCACTCACACACACTCATTCACTCATTACTCACTCACTCACACACACTCATTCACTCATTACTCACTCACTCACACACACTCATTCACTCATTACTCACTCACTCACACACACTCATTCACTCATTACTCACTCACTCACACACACTCATTCACTCATTACTCACTCACTCACACACACTCATTCACTCATTACTCACTCACTCACACACACTCATTCACTCATTACTCACTCACTCACACACACTCATTCACTCATTACTCACTCACTCACACACACTCATTCACTCATTACTCACTCACTCACACACACTCATTCACTCATTACTCACTCACTCACACACACTCATTCACTCATTACTCACTCACTCACACACACTCATTCACTCATTACTCACTCACTCACACACACTCATTCACTCATTACTCACTCACTCACACACACTCATTCACTCATTACTCACTCACTCACACACACTCACTCACTCACTCACTCACTCACACTCACACACACTCACTCATTACACACTCACTCACTCACTCACACTCACTCGCTCATTACTCACTCACTCACACACACTCACACTCACTCACTCTCACTCACTTACTCACACTCACTCACTCACACACGCTCACTCATTACTCACTCACACACGCTCACTCACTCACACTCACTCACACACGCTCACCCA